AAGTTTAAATTCTAGGATTACATTTATAAATTAAATTGATTTTCACGATATATCTTCCGATTATAGTGTCGGGATGAAAGCCTCTAATTGTGTTACAAAAATGAATAATTGATATGATTGATCCAATCCAATTGAGGGAATTCCGACGCTTTACCGCTTCGAATTATTGATTTTAATTTCACGATTCAACCTTGAATTTTATTACACATTTGAGAGAACAATTCAGCATTTTTGATCCTTTAAATATTTTTCCATCTCCTTGTGGATACGACACTTCAAAGTTGTGCTACAACTACCGCGTTATTCTTTCGGTTTAATCAAGCCCCCTCTTCAATTTGTGTATTATCGGCACAAGAAGGGGATTAATTTGCCTAAGGAAATAGAAGATGACATTCAATTCATGTATTACTCAATTAAACACATTATATTTAAATCATCCAAAATTGGTGCCCCCAAAACTAGCAAGCATCGATTTTCTCAATCCAGTGCCACTCAAAATCGGTGAATAAAAAACTTTCAAGTAGGCCCTTAAGAAATTATGGTTGATGAGGAAAACCACTTAGAATATTGATTGGATAGATGAAATGATGGAAGAAACCCAAACAGGATCAAATCCATGGTTTAGAGTTAATGAGATATGAATTTCGCAAGGTACATGATTTGTTGGATTTGAGCTGGAAATAGTGATTGATGGAAATGTGCTAGCATGTCATTTTTGTGGCTAAGCCTTGTTAGATTTGAGCTTAGCTAAGGGGCTGAAATTTAAACCAAATGTAAAATGGTCTGAGTTTGGTCTTAATATATTGGGCCTTTCATTTCTGGTCTCAATTTTGTGAACGAATGGCAAAGCTTAAATTTTTCGCTTGTAAGCTATGTATCCTACGGAATGCATGGTGATGTAGACATTGGTTTTCTTAGGCAGAGAGACAGAAAGATTTTGGGTTGGGAGTTTCTTAATTTAGAAAATGGGTATGCAATTGAATGACCCTTTAAGGGCATACATGACGACGTGGCATTGTGCTAGCTAGGAATAACCAATCGCGCGTGCAGATGGCCTATTTGGTGTCAAGCAAACCTCGACCGGGTATGGTCAAGTTTATAGGAGCCACCGAGCCAGAGGACTACCATTAATGTCTACAAAAGAGCCTGATAACAATATTTTCTGTACTGTATGACATATTTGAAGTCACAACGAATTGAATACCAGCAAAACACAATTCACACCACTAAAGATAAACTAAAAAGAAAGATAAAATCCTCTTAAAATGTTGGAGGGTTAGCTAATATTGTAGTCTATTGATATTTGAAAATTCGATCAAAACTAGGCTCCAAGATTGTAAATACTGTGTGCCATCCGGCCTCTGTGGGATGTGCGCTGTCCCAGAAGAACGCGGATTTTGGATCATGGCACACTGTATACATTTTGGCTCCGTTATCGTCTACACTTCCACAGAAATAGCCATCGCTCTTGCCTATACAACACGGTTTCAATGGAGCCTCAAATTTCAAATTTCCTGCTCAACAAAGTGATCGAAGATAAATAAAGATTGAAAAAGGAAGAGGAGAACAAGGTAGATGAGAACAAGAATCACCTAAATAGTCTCGTTTCTGCTCGATTACAGTTGTGAAAGATCTGAAGAGATCAACAATGGAAATCGCAGAATTTCTGGTTTCATTGTTCAACTTTTCCACAGCTTGCTGCAATAGGAGATTGTGATAAGCCACAGCTATATTTTCAGTTGCGTTGCATTGTTGGAATGGAGTCCCTGTGCTTCGTGGGAGACATCCCAATGGTGGCAGAGACGTCACAACTACTTTTCTTGCTCCCAATCCTCGAACCCTTTTTAAGTTCACCGCGAGTTGATTGATCACCTTAGAAATGAAACTTGCCAAACCCTATAAACACGAGAGTTTTTAGAAAACCACAATGCACATGTTAAACACATTGAATAAAGATGGAAACATATATCAATTTATAAGAGTTTTGGATACTCCTTTTAATAAAATTGATTTTTTAAGATGGAACCTTAAATCTTAACATGGTATCAGAGCTCGTTAAGGTCTAACGAGCAATTCGATTCGATTAAAACTCAAAAAAATTGAGTACACAAATTTTAAGATTGATCTGGTCAAACGAGTCATCATGCTGAGGCATGTTAAACGGATAAAATTCCACTTCGAATAAAGATGAAAACATAGATCAATTTATAAGAGTTTGAGTTATTTCTCTTAATAAGGTTGACATTTTAAGATTGACCCAAAATTTTAACAAAAGAGAACGGCTACATGTACAGATTTTTTGTAAAGATTTGTTAACAGAAATGAGGTGGCAATTTTTTGGACCTTGATTTCACTTCCATTCATTCCAGGCCAAAAAACTGTCATCTTATATTTTATTAACAAATCTGTAACCCAGTTTTTATACAAGTAGCAAAATTGAATGTTAAATTGGTTTACAGAAATAGAGTCTTTAAGAAATAGAAATGTGACAAAATTTGTTAGCGGTCAGGTTAGCGACACATCATACACACGTTTTACTCACAAAAATGTGAGTACTATGACAACATTAAAGCATCGGAGCCATCGATGAAGATAAGTTCGTGAGTTTAATCATCATGATATCGTATCGGATGGTAGTTATTCACAATAAATACTGGTGTACTAAACATTGAATTTCAGGAAGAAGGCATGAAAATCTAGTTGGAGACTCATAAATAAATCAAAATTTCCACCCAATCGCCTTGAATTCATCTTTCAGATGCAATTATGTTTGCTCCCCAAATAAATGGAGTTGGTCAGTCAACAACAATGACTCCAATTCCTAGTCACTGGTCACACTTTGTAGGCCTATTTTAGCTCCTTTTTTTTTTTTGAGAAAAATCGATTCGTGTAGGGCCGCCCATGTTTGATGGGAACTAAAATAAATTTATAATAAATTTTAATAAAAATTGATGAAATTTGTGATTAAAAAGTTGCGTGTCACATGAAATATGCAATTAAAATTAATTATTAACTTTGACTTAAATTAAAATTTTAATTTTAATCCTCAAAAACAATTTATGACAATAAAAAACACTGTCTACGTGTCGTTATTGTGTCATTAAATGATAGGTGAAATTAATTTCACATTTCATTTAACCTATCATTTATTACCACATAGACTGTGTTTTCATCCCCACTGGAGATGAATAACATTACTCGACAATTTATGATATACCCGTGTCAGGGGTAATAGATTCTTTAAAGAAGGCAAGGAGATGATACTTTTGATAAATGAAGGTTGCATGTAAACGTGTGTTGCAAAGTATCAAATTCTCATAATTAACTGGATTTTAGGGAAACCAATTCGCACTCAGGCACTACGGTAGTGCGTGACAGAAGATTGTGTTCTTAGTGTGTTTGAGAGCGTTATACTCGAACAGTTTCGACTACAATTGAGTTAGTTGGATAAAGCAACTCGATATGACTCAAATTAGCCAACTTGATTGAGGTATAAAATCGGACAAAAAAGGGGATTGGATGTTTGAAATTTACCCTGTCGTGGTCCAACAGCCTCAACTCGATTGGGTAAGCAGTTTAACAACGAATTTTTCTAGAACCAGGCCCCATTATTTTCTTACTCTAACACGACATTTTCTTGTGTCAATCATAATTCAACACGTAGATTGCTTATAGAATAGAAAAATTCATCAAATTTACCTTCAGGGACTAAAATAATATTACCTGGAAAGCGCCACCATTGGCTAAATAAGAACCATAATCGTTTCCAGAAAGACTGACAAGAACAGCACAAGATTGTAAATCCCATTTGGTGTAGACTGAATCATTGATGAGTTTCTCAAAGAAATCAATTTGGGTGCTCATGTTTGGCAACAAATCGCCAAAAGTATCGAACACACCACTCCCTCCATAGGCAAAGTTCATCCCATTCAACCATTTTTGCTTTCCCAAATTCATCCATGTGTAGGCTACTGGAGATTTGAGTCCCAAGAATTTAGCTGTTCATGTCATTATTTGAGCACCAGAAATTAGATATTTTTCTTATAATTTTTAAAGATTAAGATGCAAATTAAGGCCCCATACATTCACATTGGTGAAAGATGTGTAGATTTGGAAAGAGTAAGGAACAGAAGATTTTTGGAATCATGCAGGTGGGAAAAGTGGTATTGGATAATGAAAGGCAGTGACACTCAAATTTTGTTTCACTAAAAGTAGGATTTGAATTTGCGACCACTAAGGTAAATGTCGACCAGAATAATTGTTGGAGATGCGTGAAAAAAGTCCCTCGACTAGATATGATATAGTCTTGTGTTCTTAATTAAGGAGATTAGGTTACTCTACCTAGATATGAGAAAGTCTTGTGTCACGAAAGAGATTTATCCCAGTAAAACTCGCGTACAGACTAAAATCTCATTCTAGTTCCAGCCCCGATGATCGATACATAGACATGTGAATGTGCAAGATGAATTATTAGACTGGTGTAAAAATTTGAAATGAAGCACAAAGCATTGATATTTTCTGCTTAGAATTATTAGTCATACACAAAACAGACATTCTTGATGACATTGCCCATCTCCACTTCACAATATCCCACACATGAAACACACAAATTATCACGCTTGTTTACACATATTAATTACAAATGAAATAAAAGGATGCTCAATAATGGAAATTCTTCCACGCACATAAAGCTGACTTGTGTATTCAAGCACAAAAATAGAAAAAGAGAAAGAAAGCAAAAAAGATAAAGTGCACAAAATGATGAGTCAACCATCAAAAGATAGAAAATAAGGCAAAAGGTGGAGTGTAACTGCGTACCAAAATAATCAGTGAGGATACGGCCATCGGAGAAACGGCCGGCAGGCTTCCCCGGAAAAGTGCTGCCATAAGGTTCATTCCAAGAATTTGCTAAAGACTTCCTTATATTCCCAGTATCAGCATACGAATCCCCAAACACAAATAGCTTTGTGGGTCGAAAGCCATATGCTAGATGGCTGTCATGGAGGTCATGCTGGTGGCGGTGGCGGTGGTGGTGGTGGTGGTGATGGTGGTGGTGAGATGAACCTTGGACACCCGAATATCCTGCAAACATGTGCGCATATATAAAACTATATGACTGTACATAGCAAAGGTTTTTGTAAATCTAATTCTGAAAGACTGATTTGAAGCTGACAATAGAAACTTCTTTTTATATACCTGTGGTGAGGAGAAGGCAGTGGAAGAAGATAATCAAAAATTCCATTGAAGAGAGTGTTTAACAGGGGAATCTAGAGAGATGGGCGTTATATATAGTGCGGGGGAGCTTTGACAGAGTATATTTTTTCATGAAGGAGTTTCTCAGTCTGAGCATAAAAGTAGGATTTTCGTTTCCGTTTCTTATATGAGAGCTTCATGAAGCTACTTTTAATCAATCTTATCGAAGTGACACCTAATGAAAAAACTAAGTGGCTTAATCAATAAGAATAAGCTTTTTTTACCTCTCAAAGTGGTCGGGCTTCTGCCCCTTCGAGGTGGTCAGGACTCCGCTGACGAATAGCGACTGCGAGTTCCTACGTCAACAAAAAAAGGAATAAGTTTTTTTTTCAGCTAGGATTGATGGTTTAAGATTCGTTGGGCAAAGCTTCTGCTTTTCATAAATAAATTTTCCGAGGAAACTATTTTAGATAGATTCTTCTAAAAATTCTTCTAGTCACATGGAGCACTATCTCCTAATCTTAAACGTAGATTTTAATTCTTTAAAAGCTCTGACAAACGAGGCCTTAAGTTTAGTTGGCACCAATTAACAACTCCAAGTTATAATGAATTGGTTGATATAATTAATTTTTTAATGGGGACAAGTACAAGTGGAGACGTGGACTAGAAAGTGCGAATACATTTTTCATTTTTCAGTGCTGCCATAGCGTGGACTGGGGGAATTTGTTCTTTCACTTAAAGTGGCTCCTAACGTGAAAGTAGAGAAAAAAATGCCTTTCATTTAGGAAAGATTTAGGATTTAGTTCCTATAATTTAGTGCAACGTTGTCAATAGATAATTCCAAATCTATAACAAAATATTTAGTTGGATGACATAAACCTATTTTTGACCTCTTCTTTTTCAAATGGAGGGTGCCAAAATGAGTCGTATGTTCCGAATCAATCCGACTCGATTGAGACTCGTTAATAGTACGAATTGAACTGTAAAAACTTCGAGTTCAAGCTAGGCTTGGATTATCTTTTCAAATTGTGGATAGGATTCAACATGAGATTTTTCCTTTTTTCTTTCCTTCGACATTTGATTTGTTCACGTTTCTTTCACAAATATTTGATCTTTTCTTTAAGAAACATAAGCTAAATTTGTCACGAAATGATTGGAAAGTAGAAATGTTCATTTTTGTTATAATTAATGTCTGAAATGGACGAGTGGAGAAGTGTAATGGAAGATATACAGTCGTGGCTTCTAGTGGGAATATTGTAATCATATTTTAGTGCCAAGTTGTGAATATATCTTTCCAAGTCTAATATTTTTGAGAAATGCTATTCATCCTCACTGGGGATGCATCCCCAATTTATGTGGCGTTAATGTGACATTAAATGATAGGTGAAATTAAATAAGTCATTTAATTTCACATATCATTTAACCATTCATTTACATCCATATAGACTGAAGATGCATCCTCACTTGGGATGAATAATATTTTTCAATATTTTTTGACATCTTCTTTCAACTTGAAATTAGTGGGCTCAAACTTAGTCCAACTTATATCATATCCTTGAGAAGCTTTGAAAGTGAGGCTTGTCGGTCTCCGCCGGAGCCGTCCAAGCCTGCAGCCAACTCTACTTGGCCCACAAGAACTTTTTTTTTTTTTTTTTTTGAATTTTCACAAAAAACCAATCAAAAGCATTAAAAAATGATTTAATTTTGATTGATGTGAGGTGGATTGTATTAGCCCATGTTTGGCAACCATTAATTGAGAAAAATAAAGTTTTGAATAGTATTTTTTTAAGAAAATGTGTGGTTAAAAAACAAGAAAATGTTTTGAATTTACGTATAAAATATGTTATTGTGTGAATGTGTGATTGAAAATGAGTATGAAGAAAAAAGAGTTTGAAAATAATGGTTATGACACTGGGCTTAGCATCTTGAGCTATAATTTTAATCAAAGTGACGATAATACCCTATATTAGAGTTGAAGCTCTCGTGTTCGAGTCGATGTTAAAACATTTTCTTAGAATGAGTGGATAATGCAGGAGCACGTTTAAATCGGGATGGACCCAAGGAAGTGGACTTAGGGTGGATTCTCAATATTCATTATAGATGATATAGAGTGAATTGCATTAATATTATCAATTGTAATTTTTGGATAAAGTGGTGGCTATATCTTATATAATTTTTTATACACATAATATAGGACTCACAACTTACTATTTATCATATCTTATAAGCACTTTAAAAAATAAGTTTTGCAAATCATACATACTATAAATTTTACTAATCGATCGGGATTTCTAGACATGGAGATTTCGACTCAATAAAGTTCTACATGAAAAAAAAAAATGTATGATAGAGTGAATAGACTGTTAAATTACCAGATTTTTACCGGAATAAGCAAGATTTCTTGCGGGAATCCTTTATATCCCAACTAGATTATTGAATTTCGATAATTATCCATAATTAGAAAGATGAAAGGCTACCGAGATAAAGATTAAAGAAGACAACTTTCACGGGCTTCAATTCTAGTGGAGGAGAGCTACTTATGAACTATTACTCATAATCGAAAAAGTTTTACTGCGGTGAAATGTTTGAACTACAATCCCAGGAGAATAAGGGATTTAGCAGAAAATGTGATTTATTTTTATCTTCCTATTTCGGAATGACAAAAAAGTTATACCATCTCGTGGTAAATAGACAAATTATTGTGCCGAGCTAGATTTAAACCAGTGTAGACATATTGCCAACGAAATTACAGTTCATCCGCTCAAGCATCAAAGCTAGGAAGAATCCACCTAATGCTTATTGGTAATTCATTATCTTCCTTTCACAGTATCCTACCCTCAGGTCGGAATTTAAATCCCTATTGTTTTCTTGAAAGAGTGTCCAACTGCCCTCATATTATGATCGTACTATGAACAATTTTTTGAAATTTTCAATATAATGGAATGATATGATTAGACTTGTGGCATCTTTACTTTTATCATAATCTATAGAATTTTGTGATTATTCATCAGAATAGTAGAATCGTCAAACTCTATATAAATAAAGTATTAAAATTTAATATCGTACATATTTTAACTAAAAGATAAGAAATGATCAATGAAAAATCACAACATTAAAATTTACGAGGAAAGAAACTTCACTATAGTAGATAATGTAAAATCACCACAATTTGTAATATGTACACTAACAAAACTTTATCTTCAAGAAGTGAATCATTCTTCTCTCTGTCAACAAGAAGTGAACATTAAAATGACAAAAAAAATGTCGCTCACCATAGGGCTAGACAAAAGAACCTAGGACATCCCAAAGATAAAGATCCAAAGGGTCGAGAAACTCAACACCTCTATGAACAATATTAAGACCTCTGCTTATCCTTGAAAGGGGTAATCTTGATGACCAAGCCTGGAAAAACATCATCAGGATCTTGAATATGCGGATTCTCCTCAACAATATAAGGATCACCACACTTTTCACTTATAGTGTGCAAAGTCTCTCCTTCTCTTACAACATAAATTTCATCGCATGGCCTCTCCACACGATCCTTCTCCATCTGCTGCACTGTATAATATTCTCCATTGCTCGCTTCACAGCAGCTTGCAACCAGCATTTATGCCAAGAACAATGCACAATACCCACTAATTGCCGCTATATAATATTCTCCATTGCTCGATTCGCAGCAGCTTGAAACCAGCATTAATGCCAAGAACAATGCACAATACCCACTAATTGCCTCTGCCAATGTTATTGATGATGAGTTAATACGCGACATATTTCCGACTTTTCAATATTGTTTCTTAGGGTTTGGATATATAGAGGATTAGGATTGAAATTTTTGAAGTGGAGAAGATGGTTTTGCTTTCAACTGGTTGTTGGAGTGGGTGCAAGGTCCTGTTTTATGGATGGAAGGAGTGGAAACGGTTTCTTCAGTGTGGTAGGTAACTGTCAAACAAAGGAAAATTACAAAAACATAATTAGAGTGAAAGCTTACTAATTGGCAACACTAAGATGAGACGACTACGGCTTGACCCATAACTACACAGTTAAAGTATTATTTAAGTTTCGTACATTGTACTGAATTAAATAAGATTAACATCTTGACCTTTTCTTCTTGTCCTTTGCTTTTGTAATTCTTAAATGCGAGATTTGACTTGAATCAGTGTTCGGCAATGGAAATTTGAGACAGGAAAATGGAACCGTCAATGCTGGTAGACCTTTTCTTCTTGTCCTTTGCTTTTGTAATTCTTAAATGCGAGATTTGACTTGTATCAGTGTTCGGCAATGGAAAGTTGAGACAGGAAATTGGAACCGTCAATGCTGGTGATGGTCATTAAATTGGCACACTGAGTCTATTAGTAAATTGTAATGATATCATGTTGGCTTTTGTTGTATCATATTCATTAGTATAATGCCTGGTGATAATTTTGTATTATATAAACTTGATATGTTTTGATGCTACAAAAAATCATGCCTCGAACCATGCTTTGCCGGTTCAAAAATCAGTAGGAAAAAAAAAAGATATACGCACATGGGGCTACAAACTAAAGAATGATATCGTATGTAAAATAATGAATGAATGTCGCAGAGCTAGAATGGTATATGGTGGAATCATATGAAGATTAGGACACGTGAGAGAATTGATTTGGTATTGGTGAATAATCAGCTTAAGAGTCCAAAAGTGTATGTTAGTGTGATATGTAAGAGAAATAGTCTACCGTGGTTGAAGTTTGCATACTAATAGAGCGTATGCACGAGAATCGCGAGAAAATGTGTAGTACTTAATATGAAACTCAATACTTTTTATCATTAATTAATTTATTATGTATTATTAATGTGTCAAATGCTATTTAATCCACATGTACTTGGCACTAGTTTAGGCGTCCTTAAATGATTGGACATCTTAAATGAAGATATACGACTCATATCTAAGATGTCCAATCATTTAAAGACATTTCATGGATATATATACTGGTATTAAGTAAACACTGATGATGATGAATAACATTACTCATTAGTTATCCATGATTGTGTCTCAAAGTGAATTTCAGTTAT